CGAACAAATAACAAAGACAAAACTGCTAGCGAACAGAGCTCCTAATATAATTGGTTTGCTTGCATGTCACGTAGTGCATAGCAATAGAGCAAGATTGCCAATTTACGAACTGTGCCATGAAGACATATTGATCACATTGGCGAGAGTTAACATTCGAGAGCTCCACATCAATATCTTGGCGTTATTATTTTAGTAGATATGCAAAATATTGCATTCTTTTGTTTTCCAATAGTCTTTTTTTTTAGAAGGGCATCAATCAATCGGGAAAATAAAAAAAAAAATATTTTTTAAATAACTAAAACGTTAGAGTGGAAATCCCTTCGTATCCATTATTTACGGAGCAGAGACATTCGAACCACTCGCTGGTAAGGATATCGATAGCTCTCTTCTTCGAAATCGTTTAGAAGCAAGTTGATGACGTTTCTGACTCCCTGGCATATGTCAACAGAGATTTGCCAATGAAACGGTCTGGCTGCCATAGTGGATCGAACTTTCGACTTTTAGCTTAAGAGCTTGAGAGTCGACAGCTTGATTCTGCCGATGGACCAGCCAATTGCACCATGCCCGCCAGTTAAAAAGTATTTCCCAAATTTCTGAAAAATTGCCAATAGGAAAAGATCCTGGCTATGCACTGACTAAATTTATAACTGAATGATCAACTGCTGCAGAAAATGGCCGAGCTATTGCGTCAGCAGCGACTACGAAGCCAAAAGGAACGAGAACTGAGAGCAGCAGCAATTACAGTGCTAAGTCCGCCAACTGCAGCAACTAGTCATACGATTCTTTCTAAAGTAAAAACAGCTCAGCTGCCAAGCAGAAAAATCGCTTTGCCAAAGGAAGGTACGATTGCCCGGGATATCCTAAAAACTAGAACAGCCCGTTCGCCAACTGGAACTACCGCTTTGACAAAGGAAGGTACTATTGCCCAGGATGTTCTAAAAACCAAAACAGCTCATTCACCAACTGGAACTACCGCTTTGACAAAGGAAGGTACAATTGCCCAGGATGCTCTAAAAACTAAAACAGCCTATTCGCCAACTGCAATTACCGCTTTGCCAAAGGAAGGTACAATTGCTCAGGATGCTCTAAAAACTAAAACAGCCTATTCGCCAACTGCAATTACCGCTTTGCTAAAGGAAAGTACAACTACCAAGAAGGTCCCAAAAACTAAAGCAGCTCACTTGCCAAGCAAAAATATTGCTTTACCAAAGGAAGGTACAATTATTGTCAAGAAGGTCCCAAAAATCAAAACAGCCCGTTCGCCGGATAGAAAAATAGTCTTGCCAGTGGAAGGTACGATTACCCAAAATGTTCAAAAAACTACAACAGTCCATTCTCCGAGTGCAAATATCATCTTGCCAAAGGAAGGTACAACTATCAAGAAGACGCCAGAAACTAAAACAGCCCGTTCACTTAGTGAAAATATCATCGCGCCAAAGGAAGGTACGATTACGCAGAACATTCCAGGAACTAAAACAGCCCGCTTGCTAAGCGAAAATATCGTCTTGCCAAAGGAAGGTACGGTGGTTATCCAGGACATCCTGGAAGCTAATACACCCAGTTCATCGAACGAAAATGCTGTCCTGCGAAAGGAAGGCACGGTTACCCAGGACATCCTAGAAGCTAAAACACCCAGTTCGTCAAACGAAAACGCTGCCCCGCCAAAGAAATAAATAAAAAAACTGTTTGCTTCCTTAGATTTTTGAAAACAAAAATAAAAATTTGATCATGCAGACGCTTTTCGCAAATTTGAGCACCTCACAATATAGCTTGTTTATGTCAAAATCACTTGCAGTAAAGTATTCAAAAATGAACACCTCTCTTAGATTGCTAAGGGATTAGATTGAAATGTCCAGAAAATCAGAAAGATCCCCTTCTTTGAGGAATGATCAGAAAAATTGCTAATGAAAATTGAAAAGAAAAGGTGAAAATTCAAACAAGTGACACATAGTTCGTTAAAGCGATAACTGTTGGGAAGTGCTATATTCTCATGAAAAAAGTTTACTGTACTTATGGTGCGCGTATGTTACTTGTCTGTTTGTGTGCGTGTGTATGTGTGTGTGTGTGTGTGTGTGTGTGTGTGTGTACTTGGCTACCACATATTTCAGATTTAAAACTCAAGCATCTAGTTGCTGGGAAATTACGCATAATACTTTCTAACAGCGTTACTTGCTATGGTGAAGTGGACATTTTTATCGGAAATAGCTATCTCCGGTTAAAGGTGATTCTTGGTGTCTGTGTTGTGTAAGGAGCAAGCTGAAGTTCCTTTAAGTCCTCCTTCCTCTTCCCTCAATTATGCCTGTGTTGGTTGCTATCGAAGTGAAATATTATTAATTCAACGAGAGGGACTGATTTTCCCATGAACGGCTTTTAAACAAATCGGTGTAACTAATAAACAAACTTCGCAGTGCAATCCGGTTCCTGTCCCCTGGAAAATGATAAAACGGCGACTACTGCTCACCAACGGGGCAACACAACATCAATAGCTCCACACTCTTAGGTAGCCCGTTTTTGACATTTATTTTGTTAAAATTCTTGTTTTTACTGTTAATGACTTTCCTTGCACAATGCGCATCTGCACCGCAGTTACGCATGAAGGTAATTCGATGGCCAGGGATTAGTGCTCACTTTACTGAGAACCGATGAACGTTGTGCATTTGTGGCATAGTAAACTTGTTAGTAAATGCTAGTGCCTAGCAAGAGTATTTTGTCGTCGTCAAAATCACTGGGTTGCTCGTAAAAGTCCTCGATCGTCGCAAATTATCGCTGAAGATCGTCGAATT